CCAATCCATTTTTCGTAAATGCCATGTGTCTCCTAGGAAGGAATCCAAATCAGGGTGAAAAAAATTCAGAAGAGGATGTTTTAAGAACTTGTCAAGAATGACCCTTTCGGATATATGAATATCAGAGGGGATTTGACCTAATCATTATTAACTGATTTCTAAAGTAAATTATGTCTTCCAGGGCATGAAAAAAATTAAGCTGTTGCCTCAGTTTGGTTAATTTTCTATTCCACCAAGAACTGTACACCTGTAAATAAAAATAACCCTTGCTACTACTGTGCTGTATCTACTTGTATCTTTCCTACTTACTTGTGCACACGCACGTCCACATCACATGGGAGCACAGACAGATGTATGTATGTGTGTGAATTCAGAATCCCTTCCAAAATCATGACATTGAGCTTTATTTCACTGTCTTGGCTGAAGATATGTGCTAACATTGCTCAGCGACTGATAATGTGAATAATAAAACTGTTCCTATCCAATCAGCAGTTAATCTAAAAAAAACTGTGCTTTTGGTATAGCATTTAATCAAGTTGGTATAAATGAACATTTGTAAGTGTTAACTAGACTTTATACTTAGACTTCTGTTTTTCAGCATGCTTGCTACAGTGACAAAATGGGAAGAGAATTTTTTTTTGAGAGGGAACTGAGTAGAGTACAAGTTGGAAATCCTGGTTATTAAAAAATCAGCAATATTTTATACACAGTCAACTCCCCCACCCACCAAAAGAAGCTAAAGCCAAGGGAATAAACAGAGATCTCATATTTATCCTGTACAGATCACGGGTTTTGAATCCCGAAACTGTTCTCTGCAGACCCCCTTTTGTCATTAGTTCTAGTTTTAAATACAGTAAGAGTTATATCAATATGTAACTTAATCTAAGTATGTTTTAAAAACCCGACACCACCAGGAAGTTAAAAGTGGACACCATTACATCATAGCACAGCATAGCAGGGAGAAGTCAGAGTTCTGCAATCGGGGGCTCTAGCTACTTGCTGTGTCACTCTGGGTAAGCCGTTTAACCATTCTCAGCATCTGTAAAATGGGAACAGTGATGACCCCTGCACAGGAGAACTACTGTCAAAATGAAATGAGACATGGTATGCAAACTCCTACAAGAGTGCCTGGAACCTGAGCAAGTGAACGGCCCCCCAGGCTGTCACCTGGGTGGAGAGAATGACAAGTGCTCTCAGGAAAGCCACATGGTGCCCCCTCCCATGGTTCCACTTGGGTACCCACCTCAGGATACCCTGGGTTTATTTTTTCACTCATATTACGTTCCCTAATCTGGCATGAAACACATTGCACTGAAATTCTGCATTATGAGAGTCAGGGGAAGGTGTAGCTCAGTGGTAGAGCGCATGCTTAGCATGCACGAGTCCTGGGTTCAATCCCCAGTACCAATCAATCAATCAATCAACCTAATTACCTCACAACCACCGCCCACCCCCAAAAATTCTGAATCAGTGAGGTTAAAAAAAAATCAGCTAGAGACCTAGGACATTCCAGAAGGTATAAATGTTAATTTTATTTCTTTGGTACATTTGTTGGGCCCTTCTAGGGTCTCTTCCCTTAGTAGTAGGCTACTACATATTTTTTCTAAAAGAACAAGAGCCAGGAGAATTATGTACATATAGCAATGCAAAGTGAAACTGACAACCCAGGAGGTAAAAAAGTTTGGTGAGTTTTCATGAGGTTTATAGATGATTTATCATAAGTAAAGGGTGTGGGTCAGGTTATGTGTCATCATGGTCTGTAACTTACCTGACAGGCCAGATTTCTCCAGCATTACCTTTAAACACTGTAAGAAAAAAATTATGTTCATTAGCTGCCTGTTTCTGAGTTTATACTATTGTGAGAAACAACCTTTTTAGAGTCTGGACCTGGTCTGATTATATTTAATAATTCTCAAATAGACAAAGATATACATGGTTAAGTGGTTAAGTAAGCTCTCCTTCCTAAGGGCTAGGTGGCACCAACTCAAGACTGAAGAAAACAGGTTCAGGTGTCTGCGACCAGGACTTACAGCTTTGTTCATCCACTTCCAGGTCTGCAGTGTGCTTTTCTTCTTATGAGGATTAGCAATGCACTTTTGACCAGTTATGAGCAATTAGGCTGATTTTAAAGGTACATAATAAATTCTGACTCCTGTAAAAGGAGATTAGTCTTTAGCACGCAAGGAACACAACTGGTCACACATCAACTCAGGAGGGAAGTGCTGTGCACACTGGGAGCTTACGGCACCATGCAATAAATGAGACGATTAGCCGGTGTTTAAATGAAACAAAAATAATCATTAAAACTCAACTTGAGGGGAAAACATTCTTTAGTAAATTTAGGGCAAAAGAGTAAGTAAAATTTGATATATACTAAACCAGAGCAGGAGGGAGCAGGACTAAGGATGATCATCGCTGCACTGCTTGGAGTAAGAGAAAAATAGCAAACAATACAGACATCCCTTAACAGGGGAAGATTTAAATAAACTAGTGAAGGTCTTAAAACAATTAAAAGGATAAAACAGACTTACATGTACTGGTCTTAAAAGACCTTTAAACTATTTTAAGTGAAACAAAGTCCTAGGATCTCATTTATGATTTAAAAGAAACCACACAAGTCAAGCTTTTCACCTCCACTTGTACATACATGCCCACACACTGGTATATTTGTGATAAAGGTATGGAAGGATACACTCTACTGATGTGGATAAGATTGTATCATTTGGGCGGGGTATAGCTCAGTGCTTAGAGGACATGCTTAGCACGCACGAGGTCCTGGGTTCAATCCCCAGTACCTCCATTAAATAGCTAACTAACTAACTAAATAAACCTAATTACCTCCCCCTCTCAAAAAAAAGAAAAAAGAAAAAAAGAAAAAAGATTGTATCGTTCAGTGACAATAGTGACTTCTGGGGAAGGGACGAGAACATGGTGGTGACTAAGGGCCATTTTTAGTTCCTCCTAAGTTGAACAAGAAAGACTAAATCCACAATTACTTGTGTGATTAAAAATAAAAGAGACTTTAGAATTAACAATTGTTTAGAAAATGACAATGAGAACACAATATATTAAAACAGGGAATGGGACCAAAGCTGTATTCAAAGAAAACTGCAGTCTTAAAGGCCTCCATTATTCAAGAAAAACAAACAAACAATTGAGCATCAACTTAACTGCACTCTGGATAGAGAAAACAGCCAGGGTAAAGGCCTGTCTGAGGCACCGACTGGAGGCCCAAGGACTTAGCTGAAGCAGAGTGAGCGTGAGTAAAAGTTAGAGGTTTTTGTAAAAAAGATACCAAAGAGCCAGAACACACAGGGTGTTGCAAGGTCACTCAGGGGCTCCACTCTTACACCGACTGAGATGGGAAAGCAGAGGACAGCTGTGAGTAGCAGTGACTGATCTGACACTTTGAAGGATCACTCAACTTCTTCGTGAGAACACACCCTGGGAGGTGTAAGGCTGGAAGGAATAAGATAAGTCAGGAGCTGCTGGAATAATCTGGAAGAGAGGTAACCAGGGTGAACGCAGTGGAGGGAATGGGATGTGGTTAGATTCCAGATAAATCCTGATAGTAGAACCAAAAGGATTTCCTGAAAAACTGATTATGAAGTAAGAAAGAAAAGATAACTTCAAGGTTTTTGGCCTAAGCAAGTAGAAAAATGGAGCCACTGTAACGGAAAAGGAAAATGTGGGTGAGGTGCGTTTGGGAGCGATCAGGAGCTCCGTTGTGGGTGTGGTATAATTTGGGATGACACTCAGACAACCAAGGGGCAGCTGTAGGCCTAAGTGTGGCGTCTAAGAACTGAGCACGAAGGTGCTCACAAGGTAGAGGGAAGGGGAAACACCAGCTGAGAAGGGGTACGCTTGGGAGGTGGGAGGAAAGCCTGAAGAGCCGCTGTCTTCTGGAAGCAAGTGACAAAAGTCATCAAGTACGTCAGCTGCTGCGGAGAGAGCAAGTAAGATGAAGACGGAGACCTGCTGACTGGACACAGCAACGTGGAGGCCACGGGCTGCCTTGATAAGGGCAGTGTCAGTGGCAGGGCGGGGTGCCAGTCTGCCTGTGATGGGTTAGGGACAGAATAGAAGAAAGACATATGATACACACTGCTCCTCTGGAAAGTTCTGTGGTTCATGCTTTGAAATTGATAGACACTAAAGTTAAAAGGCAAACGAAAAGCTGGGAAAACAAACCTCTAAGCAGCCATCCCCCAGTCTCAATCCCTGCTGTGGCCAGTCTTGTCTGTCAGTACCCCTACCCACTTCCCTGTCCTGCCCCCCGACTCTTTGGAAGCAAATGTTGGATATCATTTCATTTCATTTCATTCATTAATATTCAGTACTCATCTCTAAAAGATAAAGATTATTTTAAAAAACATAACTCTTAAATAATTATGACACCTAAAAATTAGTAATTCCTAAATAACAAATATCCAATCAGTGATTAAATTTCCCTACTTTCTCTTAAACTATTAATTACTAAAGCTCTTTTGGTTTCAATCAAGGGCCACATAAGTTCCATACTTTGCATCTACTTACTGTGTCTCCTAGGTCTCTTTAGCCTATAGGCTGCCTCACGCTGCAACTGATTTCTTGAAGAGGAGGATTTTTCCACTTCAGGACTGTGCTGACTGCAAGCCTGTGACACACTTAACAAGTCCCTCTGAGCCCTGTACTTCTTATAAACCAGTACTCAGACCTAGAGGTTTGACTGGACTCAGGTCCACTTTTTGTTTGTTTTTTGTTTTGGCAAGAAGAGCACAGGTATTGTTTTGAGCTTTAATGTCCAGGTGCTGCTCTTTTGGGGCTATTAGCAGTTTTTCAGGATCATTGTATAGATCCATTAATTCATTAGGAGTTGAAAAACTATGATAATCTAAACTTTTTTTCTTCATTTTATCAGTTGGGATATGTCTATTAAAAAACAACTCATCATCTATTTGGTTAATGGGAGGTACAGTTTGCAGAAGAGAAACAGAATGCATGCCTGATTCTTTCCTTTATGGCTACCTAGCATCCACTATAGGTGAACAATGACGATCGTATTTTTAGGGTCCGTATGAGCTCATGCATTTTATGTATGTGTACCACTCAATTTTCATTATTATTCCCACTGAGGTTCAAACTGTCTTATCTTTGACCAGTGGGAGTCTCTTCATTTGGCTTGAGTCTCTAAGCTGATCCCAGAAGTCTTTGCAGCTTCACTGCTTTCTGTCCTGGTAAGACGTTCTAGGCACATCATAGGCTTTTCCAATCTAGATACAGAAGCAGCCATTACTCCGAGAAGCCCTGGTTCCTTCTAGTAGGAAATGGTATTTAGTGACCATGATCTAGGTGCTGGGGTGCTTGCCACTACCAGGTTAATTATTGTTTCCAAAAGCCGTTACAGGGGACAGAGCTAGAAAAATAATTTTTTCAAAGAAGAAAAAGTATATCAAGTTAATTCTGAGTCTTCTAATTTAAACTCAGGAGTACAGGCTTTATTTAACCACACTGATGTTATCTGTCTCTCGTTTTCCAATATTGAAAGTCCCAGTTCTCAGTGCCACCAACATAACTGCTTTATCACACACACACAAACATTCACACCAGTGTGTGTGTGATTATACATACATATAAAGTAAAATCACCAGAAGGAAATATGCCAAAGGGTTAATATTAGTGGGATAAGGGATAATGAGGCGTTTTTTTCTTTTAATCCATTTTTATATATCCCAAATTTCTATAATAAACATGTATTACTGGTAATCAGTAATCTTATTTTTTAAATTATAGTTGGTTCACCAGTTTTCAAGTACCCCAAACTACTCCTTTAATGAGTACAGAATTCTTTAAAGTATATAATGTAAACCCTAGCCTCAGGACCTCAAAATCCTAACACAGGTTACCACTGCTCCCCATGCCAAACACCCACAGACCCCACCTGCCGCCCCCCGCCCCAAGTAAAGTGACTTACATCTCTCACAGATGTCGTTTCTTCTACTATGATCTCCATCTCTGTCCCAGGCTGGACATCACTCCCCACGGCAAAAAACAGAAACAGCTAGATCAAGACAGAAGTATAAATGCAGTTTAACATAAATTTAAAAATTCTATAAATATATGGTCTATTTCCAAAAAAGAAAAGCCAATGGTCATAGAACTTAAATAAAAATCTCTAATTATGTAAAAACAAGTCTACGTTGGGTATTTTAATGTTACAGTTTAAATAATAATCTTGACTACCTCACCACCAATGTTGCTACTCCTTACACACACCTCTCACAGATATTATTTACTCTACTATGATCTCCGTCTTTCTCAGTCCTTCCTCAAAGAGCTCTGCAATGGTAATACACTGTAAGTACTACCTGTGTTCTTTTCTGGATCATTAGTTTGTGATCTTATTTTCTGCCCAGAGGTCCCATATACTTAAACTCCCAGGAACCCACAGGAAAAATGTAAATCTGATCTCTTGTCAACTCAGTTCCTTACAGCTTTCCTTTTACTTTCTAACTCACTCTCACTTATCATGTTTTTCCCCCTATGAGCTTGTTGCGCACTACAATCTGCTAGAGTTCGAGGAAGAACAAGTTAAAGGGGATGTGGATCTAGGAACCATAGGGATCATGAGTCCAGCTCATTACCTTGATACAGAATCTTAATAGGAAGGACATCATTATGATTTCTTTTTTCATTATGACTTCTGAACAGTAATAAAAGTTTATTAAATAGGTAGGGCTCCTGGCAAAGGTCAGCCTGATAGTATTTTATAGGTAAAAGGAAGACTGATAAAGACACAGCTGCTGTAAGAGTATTACATTATTACAGGGAGTAATTAAGTCCAAAACCAGTATACTGTGTTTTATTAAACCTAAAATGCTGCTGGTTGTTACTTATTATCTTATGTGCTACCAAGCAGGAGAAACCAGCACCAGCGACAACCGCAGGATGCCACTGATTGTAAGATGCATCATAATCTCACAGACGTTAAAATGTGGGAGAAAAGCGTGCATTTTAGAATTTATGAAATACAATGGTTGAAACTGGTGGCCACCCAACTTTAAAGATCCCCCTTAACCACAAAATCTTCACAGAAAAAGAATCTTATGAATATACTTTGACATAATATTTTTGATTTAAACACAAGAGAACTATATGGACGTAGGCCTAAAAGGTATCATTTAAGGAAAAGAAAACTTTAAAGAGAAACAGTATTCCTGCAGTAGTTAAGGAATGAATTATACAGTTAATAGCTTCTGCTCACGGAAGGGTGGTTTTGATCTGTCAGATGACCTCCTGTTACCTGAGAGGACGTTGGCGCTTTTCCAGGACACAGTCCCAACGAACTCCCCATCTTCAATCCTGCTTCCTTCAGAGTGTAACTGTCTAGCACTATAAAGAAATTTGATAACACAGTAAATGTTATTAATTTCTACTTCCTTGGACAAAATAATGTTCTGAAATCAGCCTTTCTCTGAAAATCATGAATGTCAAGAAAGAAAAAAGTAGAGTTGCACTCCATGCAAAAGGATTACATAAATTACAGCTATGTTTGATTTTAGATTTCCTCACTCTAAAACGTATTATTCTTGTTACCTGTACAACAATGCTAAGAGGTAAGAGGCAACTATGAATGTTCTAGATTCATACTTAACAAAAAGCAAAGGGCTGTTTTTTTTCATGGATTAAAAGCCAGATGTTCTGAATTGATTCATGCATGACGGGCTAGCTTCTTCCAAGTTTAATGCTGCTTTAGTGACCACCATTAATAGTCAGACTAAATTAAGCCTAATAATAAGACACACCAGAGGTAAGAACCAAGACTCTGGTTACTGTGATAATTGTATCACAATGAAAGTAGCAAAACTAATAAAAATCTTTGATAATAAATCTAAAAAGACATAACAGGATCAAAACCATGACTAAAATGAGCATCAGCTAATCAGAAAGATAAGTGTTTTACTTTAGAAAACAGAAGCTTCTGAATTTTTGGTTAAGATTTTCTGTGATACACAAAGACACTTTGATGACAATATGTTCTATAAATCAGTTTCTAAAAGGTAAGGGTACTGGAAGCCATTATTGAAAGAAAAGCGTTAAGAAAGACAGATGGTACGAATATGTGTCAGCTTTTGAAGGCTACCAAAAAGATGTACCTGGACAAAGAAGCTTCCCATTTCTATCGATGGGTCTCAAACAGCTGTTCTCAGCTACAAATAAAAAGATGCTGGTTAGTGCAGCAAACAAAGAAAACCAAAGAGACACTCTACTGTGGTCATCAGCAGGAAGCCACCAGAAGCTAAGAACAAAAAAGGAACAAAAAACCCCCAACAACAAAAAACCACAAGCAGGCAGTCTTCCCTGCGAACTGCAGAGCAGGGCCGTGTGAATGCTGTGGCAAGCTGACTGTGCGAAGAAATCTCAGAAACAAGAAAAATTATGACTGTACTGTGACCTTTAAAAATTTCTGACAAAATATTAAACACTGTCACTTATACGTTTATAGTGAAATGAAAAAAAGTAAAACTAATATTCGCACTGTAATTTAAAACACTACAGGACACTGGGAATTAAAATGATTTCTTTGTAAAACACGGATCAAGAATGGTTTAAACAGGGCTTCCTTCTCATTGTGCAGCTTGCAATACACAGTGAGCATCTTTTCTGGCCCCTAGTGATGATCCTCTTTCTAAGTTTCGATTAGCTTCCAGTATTTTATATTTTGTGCTTTCAATTTCAAGAAACGTCTCCAAGAGCTCCTTCAGTGTGAAGTTTTCTGCCGGCGTCAGTTCCTCTGGGACATCTTCATCCTCCTCGTCACAACCACGTCCCTCACTTCTGTGGTCTCGTTTGCATTAAGCTCCTCTGGCTGTACAGCTGGAGTCTCTCAGACGCCAGCAGGGTCAGCAGGCCCGTGGGCAGCCTTCTTCCGTAACTCCATACACTTTTGTTTCTTTTCTGTGCTTTCACTGTTGTTGGCCAATTCGATTATCCAATCTTATAAAATGTCATCGGGGTTTACCGCCGGGAGAAAAGGAGGCAATAGACTACACATTCTGCTGTCTGTGTGGTGAAATTGGTAGATACGCAGTGACCAGTTACTGACAGACTTTAACGAGTGAAGTAACTGGTCACTGATTATGATGCACATCCTACTTTACCGTGATGTGTAAAGAGCTACTAGCGAAGTTTGTACTTGATGCAATTATTAGGTAATATCTGGTGGCCGCTGAAATCTGAACCGTGCTGCTGGGTAACTGATGGTACATAATGATGGTGGTAACTGAAATTCATGCATGTCGAAACTGTGCAGAGACTGCTTAGATTTAAAATAAGTTCAGTGATTTTTATGATTATATGGGTAGGGCCAGGGTATCTTATTTTTTCTTTTTAAACTGAAGTATAATTGATTTACAGTGTTTCAGGTACGCAACAAAGTGATTCAGTCATACATATCTATATCTGTATCTATCCATTCTTTTTCAGGTTCCTTTCCCAATTACTACAAGACAGTGAATACCCTGTGCTATACAGTAGGTCCTTGTAATTTATCTATTTTGTATATAGTAGTGCACATCTGTTAATCCCAAATCCCTAATTCATCCTCCCCTCCTTTCCCCTTCGGTAACCGTAAGTTTGTTTTCTATGTGTGTGAGTCTACTTCTGTTTTGTGAATAAGTTCCTTTGCATCATTTTTCTAGATTGCACATGTAAGTGATATCATGTGATACTTATTTTTCTCTGACTCAGTGTGCCCTATTTGGAGGACACCAAGATCCCTGCTTTGTGGGAAGGAGCACACCAAGTTTTTAGCCCAAACAGAATTCTTACCAAGTTGGATATGAAGTGGGGGAGTGTGAAGTAGCAGAGCCTTCTGAGAGGGCAAGAATGGCACGTGCCTTAGAAGTCCTAACTTTGCTCTAGCAGAGCCGAATCTCTTTCTGAGCTCCCTCAGTTCTAGCCCTTATACTACAGTTACATGAAGCTAGCATAGAATTCTAACACAAACTCCCTGGCAACTCTTATGCAAAGAGTTCTCCAATTTTAAAAATGCATTTAAAACACTGTTTTTTAAAAAAAGATTTCACTTTCATTCAACAAACGCCACGTATCTTCCATGTGTCAGGCACTGTCCTAGAAGCTGACAACATAGTACTAAGCAAAACAGCCACAGACTTTGTCCTCAAAGAGCCTCATCTAATTGGGGAGGTGATCGCTCATCACACAAAACACAGGTAGTTACAGCGAAAGTGCTACGAAGTAAAGTGCAGGGTGTTCGAGGAAAACAGTCAGGCTAACTGAGGCCGTGCAGCTGGGGATGACAACAGAAGTAGTAACATTTTAGCTGAGACCAAATAAAGGACTGAAATTAGTAGATGAAGAGTAAACAAGACAGAGTTCAAAGGGATTATTGGACTTAAAAAGTCTCAGGGTGGGAAGAGAGCTTGTGCACCAGAAACTCCAGAAAGTCAGCAGAGGAAGTGTGTTGTGAGGAGCAGATGAGCAGATGGCAACGAGGCCAGTTAGGCAGTGGTCAGAGGAAGCAGGCTGCTGGAGACTAGGAGCAGGGAGCAGCCCACGAGCAGTGGAAGAGCACCATGGGGCACTGAGCAGAAGCTGACAGGACGTGGTGATTCATGTACACGTAAGATCACTGGCTATATGAAGAAGAGTCTGGAAGGGATCATGAGTGAAGGAAGGGAGACCTGTGACATGGGAAGACAATGAACTATCCATTTTCATAAACCATCTACTTTAAATCAACTTTACTGAGGTATAATTTACTTAAAATGAAACACCCAGTTTAAGTGCACCGTCTAAAGAGTTTGAGATAAACACTCAGTAACTACCAGCAAACTGAGATATAATTTGCATCGCCCCCTCCAAACTTCCTCACGCCACCCTGTACTCAGTCCCCCAGCCCCACCAATCCTGACCCGCCTCTGTAACTACAGCTTCGGCTTTCTTTTTTGAAAATTTCATGCATTAAGTGGAATCCTAAGAGTACACACTCTTTTTGTGTCTAGCTTCTTTTGCTTGGCACGTCTTTGAGATTCATCCATATTTTGCATGGGGTGGTGGTTCCCTTCTTTTAGTGAATAGTATCCTGTTGTATGGATACACAGTTTGTTCTCCTGTTCACGGACATTTGGATAGTTTCCTGTTTTTGGTTATGAACATTTATGTACAGTATTTGTAAGGATATATGTTTTAACTTTTCTTGGGTAAGGATCTAGGAGAATTGGTAAGTGAATGTTCAAACTCATAAGGAATAAGCAAGTTTACCAAAGTGACTCATTTTACACTCCCATCATCAATACACAGAAGTTCCAGTTGCTCCACATCTGTGATATCACTTGATTTTGTCAGCATTTTAAATTGTAATCATTCTACTGAGTGTGTGGTGATGTGTCATCACGGCTTTAGTTTGATGGCTAACGGCACTGAGCATCCTGCCCTGCACTTACTGGTTTTCTTTCGTAGGGTGGCCTCCCAATTTGGGTTGTTTGTCTTCTGATTAGGTTATAAGTATTTTTTTTTAAATATCCTGGATGCAAGTTTGTTGTCAAATATGTGTTTTCTACATTTTTTTCTTCCAGTTTGTGGCTTGCCTTTTCAAATGCCTTTTGAAAAAGTTTTAAATTTTGTAGCAGTCCAATTGACGTTTTTTTTTTCTTTCACGGTCTGAGCTTTTTGAGTCCTATCTTAATAAACCTTTTCCTTATGGTAAAAGTAACAAAGATTTCCTATTTTCCCTCAGAAATTTCTATAGTTTTAGGTTTTACCATCCTTGTGGCTTTTCAATGTAGTTCCTCTGTAAATACTCTAGGCTTCACAAACCACATTATGATCCCTGCTACATATTCTTCCTCTTAAAAAAGCCCCTCTAAAGTGTAAAAACTATTCTTAGCTCACCAGCTATGCAGAAATGGGCTACATGTCACAGCTTGCCAATCCCTGCTCTATGTGACTACTCTCATGCCAACACACTGTCTTGATATCTATAGTTTCAGAGTAAGTCTTGAAATCAGATAGTGTAACTCTTCCAACTTTATTTTTTTTCCTTCTAAAACTGTTATGGATACTTTAGGTTCTTTGCATTTCCATACAAATTTAAGAATCAGCTTGTCAACTTCTAAAAAAATAGCTAGGATTCTGAGTGAGGATGCACTGAATGTCCAAATCAGTTTTGAGAGAATTAGCCTCAATAATATTGTGTTTTCTGATCCAAGAATATAGTATATCACTCCATTTATTGAGTTTTTATTTTTCATGGCAATGTTTTCTAGTTTCCAGTGTACAGGTCTTGTATTTAATGATAGTTTATGCTATTATAAATGTTTTCTTAATTTATTATTTCATGATAGTTTATGCTATTGTTTTAATTTTCCATTTTTTATTGTTAGTAGACAAACATACATGGATTTTCACATACTGATTTTGAGTTCTTGTTAAACTCACTTATTAATTCTAGCAGTTTTAACAGGACCCTTAGGCTACACAGACAGACGGTAAGCACATCACTGGCGCCCACCATCACTGCATCAGGAAAACGCAATTAAATACACAATGAGACACTAATTCAAATTCACTTAAATGGTTAAAATCAAAAAGACAGACAATTACAAATACTGGCAAAGATGTGAAGAAACTGAAACCCTGACACATTGCTAGCAGGTATTTTAATGATTCAGCCACTTTGGAAAATAGTACGGTAGCTTCTTAAAAAGTTAAACATACTTTGCCCTATGACCCAGCAATTTCAACTCTGCATATATATACCCAGGAGAATTGAAAACATAGGTCCACACAAAGACCTATGCCTACAGCAGAATTATTCATAAAAGCCCAGAAGTGGAAACAATGCAAGTGTCCATCAACTGGTAATGAACAAACAAAACATGGTATACTCATACAATGGAATACTAGCCAGTAACAAAAAGGAACAAACTACTGAAACATGCTGAATCATACCTCAAAAACAGTGTGCTACGTGAAAGACGCCAGACACACAATACCTATTATATGGTTCCATTTACATGAAATGTCCAGAAAAGCAAGTCGAAGGAGACAAAGTAGATGAATGGCTGTCAGGGGCTTGGTATGCAAATGCGAATGAGGGATTTTTTTGGAGCGATGGAAATGTTCTAAAACCAGATTGCTGTGATGGCTGTGCAACTTTATACATTTACATATTTTATATGTAAATTATACCTCAACAAAGCTGTAAAAGAAAACCTAGTGCTGAGTGAAGAGTGAGTTTGCACAATGTTATATTCATTATGATAGAATTTATACAAAGGTAAAAATACAGTACACACACACACACATATATATATATACAGAAGTATAATATACATAGTACAGTATGAATATACAAACTAGATACACACCCAAATCAGACATACTCATTGCATCTGGGGAGGAAGGGAGGCTAGATCTGAGGAGGAGAACGTAGAGAACTTTCACTTTATTTGTAATGTTTCAAGAAAAACAAACACATGACAAGATGTTAACATTTGTCCATTTTGGGTGGTAGATATGTAACTTTTCCCTAAACTATTTTTCACACTCCCATATTTTTTTAAATTAAAAATCAAACAAAACTAAATTAAACCAAAAAATCAAAAGCAAATGTAAATGATTACCTAGTTCCTTCATTAATTTTAATTCCTTTATGGCTTTAATTCGAATATCAAACACCACCTAAAATAGAGAAATAAACTAATGACTGTGTATAAGTTAAAAACAATGAGAGGAGAGGAAAATGAAGATTATTGGTATCTACATATACAGACTGTGTTATTCATTACCTTACATTTAGTTTTTGCTTACTTGAAAAAATTTTTTTCCATCCCTGAAATTCATTTTTCTCTCTTCTACAAAGTCAATGGCAAAAAGTTAGTTCCTGGTTAAGTTTTTATCAAACTGATGATAACTGAAACCAAAAGGCCTTCTACAGAAAACTTTAGAAAACTAAAGAAATAATACTAGCTAGAAAGGCAAAAAGCTGACAAACAACTAACCTTTCTGATGATAGCAAACAAAAGAAACTGCAGGCAAGCCTGTATCTTTCTGTTAAGAATGATGAATTTGGGGTGAATAGGCATTAATAACATAAAAAAGTACAATACTAATCCAAGGGTACTATTTAAAACTTCTACTTAAATTACGTTATATTAGATTTTTTTTTTGACTACTTGCCTCTAGGGCACAAAACTGTAGAAATTTAGGGTAAGACTGATGTCTGAAATCAGCACCTCTACCTCCCCATGCTGTGCCCCACGCTGTGCCCAGGAGGAACACAGCCTGAAGTAAACAAGGGCCACACCAGCCTCCCATTGGAGTCGGGGCAGTAGGTCTCCTGAGCTTTAGGGCATCGACCTTATGCTGTCTCTGCTACTGTGCCAACAAATATTAATGTACCTTAAGAAATTATAATTTTATATATAAGAAAACATTCTAAATTTTTAAAAATAAAGTTACAGGAAAAAAACTTTAATGAATTGAGACTACAGAAATGTAAAAAGATGTTTTCTGAAATAATGTTTAAGGAAACCAGCAAAATAGGCTTCAAATGAAAAACTGAAAAACCCTTTTAAAAGCAAATGGCTTTATACAGAGCACAGAGTATACTGTAAAGCAATTTAAGATGAACTTTAAAAACCCACAAAAACAAAACAACACAAAACCAAAACATATATCTGGTTCAAAAAATACAGAAAAGACCCTTGAAAATAGAATGTCATACTTATCAAAGCCAGAAGAGTCCAAGAACTAATTCCAAAGGTAACGCCCACATTCTAATTCTAGGCTTTAGAGGGGGGAAAAGGCACATATTTTCTGGAAATATACCAAGGGCTAACAAAGGTAAATAAGCAACAGTCAACCATTACAAGTAAAAAGGTGATTTCTTAAGATTTAGAAGCCTACTGAGACAACTGTTCTGAAAGATTAAGGTATAGCTTCTAAATAAAATTCTGTTAACTAAAAACCTGCCAACCACATGTTGAGTCACAGTCTACTCACTGTGTTAACAGTTGCTGATACTTTAACTTGCTCCTCTTCAGATTCTAATTGGCATAAATTTTTAACTTGGAGCCAGTCAGTGTCATTCACACCAGTGATCCATTTCCCTTGTTTGGTCAACAAACTGTATGTAAAAAGACATTTTTTAAAGATGTGTCTTCACACCGCATTTTTATGGCTCAGAGAGGACCAGAAAATTAATGCTTTTCCTTAGGCATCACTTCCCCAAACTTCTGCACATGTCACTTCACGTGACTAATGGAAGGTGACCGAGCTCTACTGAGCTGACTTTCTGAAAGCTGGCTATCTTTTCATGGCAGCTAGAGAGCATTCTATGGAGTCTGTACTCACGCCTCCAAATACTCTCTGATTTATACACAATTTGCTGCTGTATTTTTCAAAGTGAACTGTTGTAACTGAACTATCAGTTGCTGACTTCTGTCTGCACATTGTAACCAGAGCACCCATGCCAGAAGTCCACTCACAGGACTTGGATGCAGTTTGTGTCAGGACAGCCATGCACGGCTGCACAGAGACTGGCACTGAACCCAAGTACCACATCTACTGGGTGTCATTCACATCATATACACTGGGTGTTTGTGTATTTTCATTGTACAGTTTAAAAAAAATTCTACGAGAGCAAATGGCAGTGCAGCATCTTGTTCTGACAAAATTCTCCTACAGACAGAAGTAAAGGTTCTTGAGGAAAGAGTGACTTCTTCCTAATCCACACAGAGGCACTGAGCGGGCCGGCAGAAGTCCTCTTTGAGAGTGCGCAGCAGAGACATAAAGCACAAGTCTACTCTTCATTTCAGTTATTCCACTTTGGGACTTGAGTTAGCAATCCTAAATATAACAAAGTTTTAAGCACAAAGATGTTCTCTGAAGACCACCCTAAAATAATGAAATTCTAAATGATGATAAGGATGCTAGCTAAAATATCTACCACTGAGACTATGTGCAAACACTTGGAAGCACTTAACTTTCAATCTTTACAACTCTATGAAGTTGGTACTAATTATTACGCCCATTTTACAGAAAAGAAACTGAGCAGAAAGAGGTGAAGTAACTTTCCCATGGTCACACTATTACTGTTAGTAAGTGATAAAGCCAGAAACAAAGCCAGGCAGCTGGCTCCCAAGTCCTTGTCTTTAGCCGCTGCCTCACAAGGGAGCACAGTCATAAACTATGGCATCAACATAGATTATGTAGCCATGAAACGAGGTTTATGAAGAGCCTTCAAACATGGGGGAAAGCAGGACAGAACTAATTATCTACAAAATAATTACTACGTTTAAAAACAAAAAATCTTTAAAACAAAAATCCAATTATTCGAGCTCAGAAAAAAAAAAAAGCTACCAGTGCCGGTCCTTGCATGAGTGGTGCAGGGATGCTGTTCTGGGTCTCCTGTCTTCACTTTTGCACTTCCCAAAACCTAATGAATGGATATTACTTTCTAAAAATAAATATATAATAAACTTTTAAATAAACAAGATGGGGAAATAAATGGCTGGAAAACACTTGTCCAAAAGAGTAACAGTGATAAATGTAATACAAAATAAACACAAGCAGATGAGGCTCTGCTTCCCTAGGTCACGGCCACTAATGAATAATAAAGCAGGGCCTCTGTAATCTCGGTATACACACAGCACTGACGAAGCAGGGGACCGATTCACTGTCCGTAACCTAAGTCTCTAACGTGCCGAAGTGCGCGGGGTTACGTGAGTGACACGCCCCCTGCGGACACGGACTGGCACAGACCCCGATAACAAGAACCAGAAGCATTTCCAAGCTTCAAACGCGACGACGGGAGTCAAGGGCGTGAGTCCCCATGTAACGGCCCAGGCAGGGCCGCTGGGAGGACCTGAAGCATCACGCGCACGGTTATAACGAAAAGCTGAATTGCCTCATGAGGTCCTGGGTCAGAACAGCCAGACAAACTTAGCTGGGACTGTACCACTCTCCTCATGAAAAACTTCAGGAAATTTCTTTATGACAACGTGCCCTCAGTTTTATAACAAGTGCTAATCAGAATTCATCTGATAGGATTCTGCTTTACAGCCAACTAATCTAGACTCTGTGTAGCCCACACCTGCATTATTCAGCTACCACACTGACCTCCCCTCAAAAAACTCACATTACATTTTACACAGTATCACTCTTCTCCAGGTTGCCTAACAAAGAACATTCCTATCTACAATATTATCAAACACAATGTCTTGAAATAAAAAGAAGCATTTAACTTATCATTATTAATATAAAGCTTCAGAGTTCTAACAAATAGCACTGCAATTAAAATAACTGAAAAAAGAATTCTCTTTTTAGCATGTTACCTGTTATCACTACTAGAATCCTGAATTAAAATTGAGCTTCCATTTCTGAGACCTTGTTCTCTGAATGTCTTCTTCAAGTCTTCCTTGGGAACGGTGGTCCAACTCTCTTCACCTATAGATTCAGTATTGCTGATCAGGACGACTCCTTCTGGGATTGCAAGGGCACTGAATACTGTGCCTAATTGTACATTGGATGGAAAGACACGTGGAGATTCTATCAACTGCTGACACTCTCCTCCCTCACCGCTCGGAGTGAGAGAAAGAACATTCAGAAGCAGAGGTTCACAGTCATCACCAGTTGGAATTTGGATTCCGCCAACCTACAACATCAAGTCAACCACTAGTAAGCACAGTTCAAATCTGCCAAAATTAAGTCAGCACAATAACATGGTAAAAGACTCTTGTAGAACAATTCTTATTTTTTTTCAAGTGAGATAAACTTTCCCCAATTGTCTTTCAAGTAGCAGAAGAACAACTTTAGATTTTTCTTTTGAAGCTTTTTCTTAGCCATCTTTTACTTTTTAGGAGAGAAATCTGAAAGTGGAGACAGAGATGTATGAGTCCTCAGCAGTGGTAAATATGAGATGGACCAATGACAGTCCACTGAGTGAGATGCTCCTCGTCCCTTTTTTGACTCAGAAAATTCACTCTGCTCCCTTAAGTCCCCTCCATCACTACCTAACTCAGGATAGTGGCCCCCTCTGAGTCCCCACCGAGAGTATGTCCAGACCCTCCTCAGCACTCACCTCAGAGCAATGCTATGACTCACAGCAGTGCCAGCGTGAAGGACACAGACTGGTTATTTACCTTTGTGTCCAGCATCTGACACACAGCCTGGCACCATGGAGGTGCTCTATAAATAGCTCTTTAACATATAATCAACACTGTACCTAAAATTTATTGGACATTTCAACAGGTTTATAATATCCTAAGTGCTGTTACATATGCTGAATAACATTTTATCACAATAACTTAAAAAAAATTCAAAACTATCATGAACATGGTTATCACTTCAACACTTGCTCACCTCCACCCCGTTCCACACAAAGATGTCTTCCCCGTCAGCAATGTCAACTTCACACAGCGTCAGGTCATCTCCTAGGAAGATGAGATTACCAGTGAAACCATTCTCATGATCATCAAAACCACTTTAACTAAACAAAGTGCCGAGGCACTTCAACACCTGTTTGAAAAGCATTCTCCTAAGGAAAATTAAGAAAAAAGCAGTAATTCTGTTTGTAATATTGATATTATTTTATATTATTTTTATCTTTATTCCTTCCATCACACTCTTCCATTGTGTGTATATATGTATGTATGTGTGTGTGTGTGTGTGTG